ACATAACGAGACCCCATCTCTACCAAAAAAAAAAAAAATTAGGCAGGCATGGTGGCACATGCTTATAGTCTCAGCTACTCAGGAAGCTGAGGTGGGAGGATCACTTGAGCTTGGAAGGTGGACGCTATGGTGAGCCATGATTGCACCACTATGCTCCAGCCTGGGTGACAGAACGAGACCCTATCTCTAAAAAAAGAAAAAAAGAAGTAAAAAAAAAAAAAGTTAAAAAAAAAAAGACGCCATGTTCTTACCAGATGCCCAGGGAATGACGTTGGCCCTTTTCCTGGACCCCATTGACCTGGGACCAGCAAAGAAGCCCTGGGATCCTGGAGGAGTCAGGGCTGGTTCTCAGGACTGGCACAAGGCCCTCTGAGGGGAGGAGGTCTGGATCGGCAACTTGCCTTCTGCTCCATTCAGGGCCCTCCCCACACGCCCGGAATTCCTGACCTGGCCCTGGTGCTGCCTCCCTTAGGGACAAGAGGTGGGGGCCTTTGAGTGTTTGTTTAGAAGCATGGTTTCCTTAAATGGCTGGATTTTTAAAAAATGTATGTGCCTGCAGCTAACTTCATATCCCCAACAGCCAGGGCATCTGCTGCAGGAGGGCAGGCGAGAGAGGGGAGAGGGCTGGGAGGAGTCCAGGGATGGGGGACAGAGGAACCAGAAAACCAGGCGAGGAGAGAGCTTATAAAAAGCCTTGGAACCCTCCTTCCACTTCGGGAAGAAGACACAAGGCCCAGACAGGGAACATGAGAAGCACACAGCAGGGGGACATTCCCACAGCAAATCAGGGACAACCGTGGGAATGCCAACCTGCTTATTTGTTTTTATCTCTATTAAGTCTTTTCCTGCCTCTGAGCCTTGGCACCTGCTGTTCCTTCTGCCTAGGCCCCCCTTTCTTTGGCTTTTCTAGTGACTTGTTGCTTTCCAGGTGTGAATGCTACTTCCTGACCATGCTTTCCCTATCCACAGGTAATTGAAGGATGCACCGGCCTCTCTGGTTATTTACATCATCCTGCGGAATGAATGAAGTCTGCAAGCTGCGGAATAGGTAGTTGTAGGTTTCCTTTGGAGAGGAATCTGCTATACCTTTAAACAGTGATTTCTTCTCTTTTTCTGTTTACTTTTGTAGCCACATCAGAAATTCAAACGGTAATTTTAAAACTGTGTTTCCCTAAGCTATTTGACGTAGTTATTTATTTACCATGTGAACTATACCCCCTCCAATAGGCTCCTTATAGCTATTGTGAACACTTAAGAACTGTTTCTGAGGCGTAGCCATGCTAGAAAATGTATTATTTAACCCAAAGAACAAACTTTGGCATTCTGTTTTTGTTTTTGTTTTTTTTTTTTCAGTGAAGCATGGTATTATTTTAACAGACATGAGCTTTGATTTCTGAACTTTTAAACTTATGGGTTATAAATATGAAATGGAGTCATTTTTAGTGAAAAAGGAAATAGGACAATTTCAACTTGGTCAATGAGAAACGATACATTTCAGGCTAGGAGGTTAATTCTGTTTTCTTTTTCTTGGTTTTACATCACCAAGAAAAGCAGTACAAGGTTTCCTGCTTTTAAATTTCCCAGGTGATTTACAGATGTAGCACAGTGTTATTTATGGGAAAACACCAGAAGAAAATAATCTTTCTGCATGAGCAGAAGAAATTTTGATACACATTTTCCAATTAATAGTCTTCCTGCATTCGTGGTCGGATCTCTCCCTGTTTGACACCTTGCAAGGGATTCCTCCTGCTTTAGGACAGAGCCTGAACTCCTTCGGAGCCCACAAGGGCCTGAAAGATCGGGCTCCTGTCTTCCTCTTCTGATTCATCTACTGCCCCCAGTGCTCCATGCCCCTGATTGAACTTTGCTCCTTGCCTTTGCACACACTGTTCCCTCTGCCAGCCTCACTCACACTCCCTACCCTGTACTCATCAGTCCTGCCTTTCACAGTTTAGATGTTGCTTCTTCCGGGAAGCCTTCCCAGATGCTCTGGAATAAGTGATGCTCTGAGCAGCTTCACACGTGTTCTCTGTCATAATTTTTATCCCATTATATTATCTTGGTAATTCCTCAGTTTTTTGTCTGACTCCTTCACTAGACTATAAGCTGTATGGGGACAGGGACCACATTTAGATTCCTGGGGTCTACCGTAATGTTTCACACATGGCAGGTGCTCCATTAATGCCAGGTGAATAAATGAACACATAGCCAGAATTTGACTGATGTTCACCAAATTCTGGTAGCCCATCACCATCATTCATAGTTCTTGGATGACTTCCTCTTAGTCATTAACTTGGTCATTCACTCCATCCATCCAACCAATTCTCCATCCATCCATTCATCCATCCATCCATCTATCCATCCATCTGTCCATCCATTCAGCCATCCATCTGTCCTTCTGTCCATCCATCTATCCATCCATCCATCCATCCATCCATCCATCCATCCATCCATCCATCCATCCATCCATCCATATATTTCTGTGACTAGGCAGAAACAGTGAGGCTGAAGTCACAGTCAGTTTTAGCAAAAGAAGAAAATCAGGATTTCTGATGTTAATGTCAGGTTTGGTGTAAGGTATAGATAGGGCTCAGAAAACCAGAACCACATCGTGGGCACACCCAAGCAGGGAGTGGCAGAGCTGATGGAGGAATGTCTTATGCAGCAGAAGCTAAAGCAATTCAAGCCTCCCTCACCCCCTGGCCGACACACATGTCCAGCCCATAAATGTCTATTCTCACCTCCCCTCCCTCTCTTCCTTCCTTATTCTATTAAGTCTTCATGGAGACCTCCCTCTGGGATAGGCCTGTCCTGAAGACTGTGGAATCATACCCAGATTTCTGCCCTAAAGCTGCTCTGAGTGTATACAGGGATTCTAGCATAGGAGTGGAGAACAATACAGGAGGCCCACCATGGCCCCTGCCATAAGAGAGGCCCAGGTCATGTGCTCTGAGCACCTGGAGGGAAGAGAGGAAGGGAGGGCTGCATGTAGGAGGGGACATTGGAACTGGATCTTGATGAGTGGGTAGGACTTGGGCATGTGAAAATGAGGGGAGAGTGTTCTAGGACACAATCAAATGAGCCAGGCAGAGAAATGGAATGAATCCAGGCAAGTTCAGGGAATCCAGCCTGCTGGGGGGCGGGGAGTAGGACATGAAAGAGGGCTGGGAGAAGGCCAGGGAGGAACTGGGCCAGGTCACAGCCCTGGCCTTGGAGGCCAGCTGGGAAATGATGGATTGAGTAACTCACTCATCTAACAAATATTTTTAGCATTAATATGTTCCAGGCCACAGGCTGTGGGCTGGGTACAAAAAGGATGGAAATCTGCCCTCAGATGGCTCAAAGTCTGCAAACCATTCCTATGCACTGAAGTGGTTCCAACTGAGGAGGGGCCTAGTCACTCTGGCTGGGTTCCCCGACCTCAACCCACCTCCCCTCTGTATCCCACGTTCCCTCCATCTCACAGCACTGCCACTTTAGGGTCTGTTGGCTCTTCCCCAATGCTTTGCAGTAGCATCCAGCCTGCTCTCCTTGCTTTAGCCTCATCCATCTTCCCCTCCCTGTAGGCAGTGGAATCTCCATGAAGGAACATATTATGGCTGGGCGCAATGGCCCGCACCCATAATCCCAGCATTTTGAGAGGCCGAGGTGGGTGGATCACTTGAGCCCAGGAGTTCGAGACCAGCCTGGGTAACATGGCGAAACTGGCTCTACAAAAAAATACAAAAATTAGCCAGGCATGGTAGTGTGCACCTGTAGTCCCAGCTTCTCTAGAAGCTGAGGCGGGAGGATCGACTGAGCCCAGGGAGGTTGAGGCTACAGTGAGGCGGTGGTCACATCACTGCACTCCAGCCTGCAACACAGAGTGAGACCTTGTCTCAAACAAACAGACAAGAAAAAGGAGCACATCATGTTTCCCGTCCCCTGCCTAAAACCCTTCCTGGCTCCCCAGTGCTCTGAGAATAACTTCCGAGAGCCTTGTCCTGGACAAAGAGCACCCCTCACATTCTTCTCCCCCCACTCCTCCATGGCCTCATGGGAGTTCTCTCATTTCCCTGGGGTCTCCCTGTGTTTTCCTCTGATCAGCTTCATCTCCAGCCCTCGCCGCCCACTCTGCGCAGGCTCGCCTCGCAGGCTCTGCAGGATGGAGGCGGATAGCGATTCCTTGGGTCCCCTTTCTGGACTCCCCAGGCTGCACTTAGTGTGGCGAGGTGTGTTTCTTCTGCCTGTTTCTTTGCTTGGTTTCCCCACAGCCTGGGAGCTCCTTGGGTGGGGGATGGCATTTGCTAAGCATACCATTGTCTCACCATTCTGTGTACAGCCCAGGAGTATCCCATATAGAGCGGGCCTTGGATTCCTGGGGACCCAAGGATGGATGAAAGCCAGGCTTAGACAGGGTGGGATGGGTGCCTCTCCCAGCTTCCCATACCCCCAGGCCACTTGGTGGGAAGGGGTTCAGAGATAGGAGGTGGGCTTCAACTTGGGAAGAAGTTCAGGACCTCTGGGATTCTAGAGAGGTCTGACAGGTTCCAGGGTGTCCTCAGGTGAGAGAAAGGGTTGGTCCGGAGTTGAGGATGAGGCAGGTCCACCCCACCATGCAGCAGCCGGAGTCCAACTCCCAGGTCTGGGTGGGAAGCAGCTACCCCCTCAGCGGCCTGACTGTGACTTTGACCTCTGCATTCATTTCGCCCTTTCTCTCTTTTTCTCTGTGCCTCTTTCCAGCTCGACCCGCCTGGGGCTATTTTTGCTTCCTTCTTGTTCAGTTGCCTGAGCAGCATTGTGACTTTAATTGGTCCATTTTCTGCATGCTGGAAAGATGTTCCCTCCTTGTCCCCTGCCCACCCCCACCCGAGAGTGGGCCCAAGAGTAAAAGCTAGAAGTGAGGCTAATTATGGAGGGAAGGGTGGACAGAGACATACTCAGGCGAAGGAAAAAGATAAATGGAGGGAAAGGAACAGATAGAGACAGAGAGGGAGACAGAGAAAGAAAGAGAAAGAGAGAGAAGGCAAAGGCCAACACACAGAAGAAGAGTGGGAGCCTGGAGAGCTGGAGACAGAAATAAATAATTGAGGTAAGAGAGAAACACAAGAAGACAAAGAGAGACTCAGAGAAGCAACCAGATGGATTCAAATTCGCGTTGCGTGACAAGAGAAAGACAGAGGCCCGCAGCCACTCCGAGAGGGAGGGAGGGAGGCAGCCTGCAGCTGGATGGGCAGCGGGGAGCAGCATCTCCAGGGAGGCCATGGCTTGTATAGAACTCCACCACCTCCAGCCGGGGGCCTCTGGCCAGTCTCTGCTTCTCTGGGCCTCCTTTGCAACATAGAGATAATGAATGACAGGTCTGCACTATTTGCAGGGGCTCGCTTGGGAGGGCTGCAAGGTGCTTTGTAAATGGTTAGACTTCTGCAAATAGGGGAAGAAAGGAATCATTGTCTCAAAGTGTGGGGCTTCCCCTGTGTACATCTTCCTGCCTCTTGAACTTTAAATGAATTAGGGTGGAGGAGGGCAATGCCTAACGCATTATTTGTTGTTTATTCCTACAGCAAAGGTGTACTGACCACCTGCTCACTGTGTCCAGCCTCCTTTCTGGGCTGTGAAGATAAAAGGTGACCAGAGCAGGGTTACTGCCCTCCTACTCAAGCTCTGGCCTCTACTAGGTGCTCAGTGTTTAGAAGGAGGAGCTTACACATCTAACTCCACTCTAACCTGGCACTTGTTCTAGCCGAGGAATGCCTCTGCCTCCACCCAGGGGCAATCAGGGACAGCTTCCCAGAGGAGGCAACGTGGGACAAGGCCTTGAAGGCTTCTCTGAGTGGAGAAGGCTGGGAAGGAATTCCAGGTGGGGGGGATTAGCCTACGCAAAAGCATGGCCACCGCACAGGATGGGGCTGCAGGGGCGGGGTGGCGCTAAGGAAGTCGAGGGTGAGGGTGAGGGTGAGGGGAAATGGGAGATGAGGCCGGGAAGGCAGGCAGGGGCTGGCTTGGGAGGGGCCTTGAATGCCAGGTAAGGAGTTAGGGCAAATAGGTGGTGATGTCCAGCAACAGAATAGCAGAATCCAATCTGAGTTTTTCAAGAGGAATCCTGATGAGACAGCACAGCCTAGAGCAGGGGGTGCTGGGGGCAGAGACGGCAGGAGGAGCCCGGGGCAAGATGCAGGTGGGAGATGCCACAAATCCGAACTGGGGAAGGAAGACCCTGGGTGAGTGGTGGGCACTGGATCAGTTGCCTGCAGTACCTGGCCTGTCAGCCCAGCCCAGTTGTCTCTCTCTTGCCTGTGCCATGATCCAGAGCCACAGAAACCCAGATACTCGCTTTATGGTGCCTTCGAGACCAGCTAGTCCAGGGATCTCAAACTCAGATGCCCTTGGGTGCCACGTGGGGTGGCTGGTTTGAGACTGTAGAAATGGTGGGCCCGATTTGTAGATGAGAAAACTGAGGTCTAGAGAGGGAAGTGACTTGCCTGAGACCCACGCCTGGTTCGGGGAGGCATGTGCTTTCTCAATCAACACTCCTTTCAGGAAAATGACTCAGCCCCTTCCACCAGCACAGACTGAGGGAAGGAGAAGCCTCGGAGGAGTAGGAAAATACTGATTGCTGGAGGAGAGATGATTGGCGTGGAAGGGGGAGGTCGGCTTAATGAGAGGGAGGCTGAGTGCAGGCACGTCATGGTAAAAAGCAAGGGGAGGGTGATGTATCCCCAAGGGGAGGCGCTGGCTCCTGGACTCAGCTGACCAGGCCCCCAGCTTGCCCACAGCTTCAGGCAGGGGAACAGGGCCAGGGCTGGGGGTGTGGTGAAAACCAGCAAGGGGAGGATGAGGCGTCCCCAAGGGGAGGCGCTGGCTCCTGGACTCAGCTGACCAGGCATCTAGCTTGCCTACAGCTTCAGGCAGGGGACTGGGGCTAGGGCTGGGAGTCCCTCAGCCTCAAAGGCCCAAATTGCCCTGGCCTGGACCTGCTGAGCTGCTGATTATCCGAGGCAGAAATCCTGCCAAGCTGGACTTTAGAGAATAATCATCACAGCCAATAATAATGCCTCCCACCTGCGCCGAGCTTTTAACTTGTTCAGCCACTAGCAAGCAGCTTTGTCTGATTCAGAAAAAAGGCCAGGAGAATTTGTGGCAGGCCTCAAGAGTAGGAAAGAGCCCAGTGGAAGAATAAGACATCCTTGCTTACCTCCTTGAGCCTCAATTTTCTCTGCTGTAAAATGCAGATGTTGTTCTCTGCCTCCGATGATCTTTATAGCCTCATCTTCAACCCCAGATCCCTACTCTCACCTCCCTCCCTCCCCAAGTCACATACACTCACATGTAAAGTCCAGACATGGAGAACTGTTGATGAACCCCTCTGAGGTCTCTGCTTTGGTTTTACATCAAATACCAACCTGCCCCATGTTTTTTGTGAACTCCCCTTTATCCTACCAAGACCAGTGCTACCGTTTCTGTGAAGGTCTCAGCTGTGGTCTGGATGTTTCTGTCCCTCTGAGATTCATGTGTTGAGATCAAATCCCCAGCATGTTGACATTAAGAGGTAGGGCTGTTGGAAGGTGATTAGGTGATGTGGTGGGGGTGGGCGGTCTGCCTTCATGAATGGGATTAGTGTCCTTATAAAGAGGTTCGAGGGAGCCTCTTTGCCCTTCTACCATATAGAACACATATTATAGAAGATGGAACTGTGAGGAACATATCTATGAGGAATAGACCCTCAGCAGACACTGAATTTGCTGGCACCTTGATCTTGGACTTCCTAGCTTCCAGAACTCTGAGCAATAAATTTCTGTAGTTTGTAAATTACCAAATGTATGGTATTTTGTTATAGCAGCCTGAACATACTAAGACACCCTTTCTGATTCTCTCCTCAAAGTTAGACACTCCCTATTCTGGGCTGCCACTGGAGTGTGTACACTACAGCACATATTCTACTTATATCTTTGCCTCTTTCCCCTTCAGTCTGAAAGTTGCTGGAGGCTAGGGAGACTAGACCTTTACATACTTCCGTATTCCCAAAGCCCAGAATGGATCTAGCACACAGTAGATGCTCAAGAAACAGTTTTTGTCTGGGCACGGTGGCTCACATCTATAATCTCAGCACTTTGGGAGGCTGAGGGGTAGGTAGGTGGATCACCTGAGGTCAGGGGTTCAAGACCAGCCTGGCCAACATGGTGAAACCCCATCTCTACTAAAAATACAAAAATTAACCAGGCATGGTGGTATGTGCCTATAATCCCAGCTACTTGGGAGGCTGAGGCAGGAGAATCACTTGAACTCAGGAGGCAGAGGTTGCAGTGAGCCGAGATCACATCATTGCACTTCAACTTGGGTAACAGAGTGAGACTTCATCTCAAAAAAAAAAAAATATGATTCGAGTGAAACAGTTTTTGATTTGAATGATCACACCAGATTATGTTTGTCATTCTCTGTGTCTGTTTCCTCCACTAAACTAGAAACCTCCTGGAGGGTAAAGTCTGAGTCCTGTTCACCTTCTACATGTTGCCCAGCACAGAGGACATCCTCAAAAAGGTTAAGGAAGTGAATAAACAAAGGAAAGCACTTTGTGAATTGTAAAGCGAGATCCAGGGTAAAGGAAAGAAACCTCTGCATGAAAGAGAAGACGAACACATGATTCAATGACTGTGTTTTAAGGTATGTCTGTTTGCCTGTTGTGAATGTATGTCTGCCTATATGTATATGAATGCCATTTGTGAGGTTATGTGTGTGCACAAGTAGCTGTGTGTGCAGGCATGTAAGGATATAGGCATTGTTTGCTTTGTGCATCTGTATTATTGTGTATAGTGTATGGGGTATTATTGTATTATTGAGTGTAAGTGTTGTCTAGAGTCTATTGATAGGTCTGAGTGTGTAAGACTGTGTGTCTGGGGTGTGTGTGTAGGTGTGCACCTGTATGTGTATGTGTAGGTATAGTATTGTGTCAGGGGTTGAAAGATGAAGTAGGAAGCAGAAGAAAGAAAGGACTCACTTGTGATTGTGAGTCATTTGCACAAATGCCAGGTGCAAAGGGCAAGGACTCATAGGTGTTCCCAGCAGAGACCCACAGCAGAGACTTCACATCCCATCTCCAGCTTCCACTCCATTCATTCACACCTTCTTTCACTGATGCACAGATGCTGACTCAGCTAGGCCCTCTGCTGGCTGAGCCCTGGGACCATCATCTTGCCTGGGATAGCTTCCGTGGGCAGCCACAGTCTTGCTGAGGCCCCAGCTGCCCCAGGCCTTGGCTCAGCCTGGTGTTTTCAAATCCCACCTTTCCTGCCTCCCTACCGCACTGCCTCTGTCTATCATTCCCAGCAAGGATCTGCAGAGAAGAGGACCCTTCTAACAAAGGGGAAGTGAGAAGAAAACCAGCAATGAGAAAATGGAGAAGGCTCTTGGCAAGGTCTGCCCCAGACACTTCCTCTCTGCAGGGGCTGTGGACCGCGTGCCCCTCTGCCACTGCAGCGTTGGCAGGCACACAGGTGTGGACTTATTTTGTGTGCCCAGCCTGTATGTTAGTCTGGAGGTTCCTGGAGGGCAGAAGAACATTATTTATAGTTTCTCCTCTTCCCTCAACCGTCAGGGAGGGGCAGCAGAAGGTTCAGACCCTCGTGGCCTGACCTGCAAATTCTACAGCCTGATGTTGAGCAACAAACCTGATCTGGTTAACAAAGGAAACTGATCAGCAGCCCAGAACCTGGGAGAGAACAGAGGGGGCTCTTGTGACTAATGTGATTTTAAATCCTTATTCACAGGCAGGCATGGAATTCATTTCTTTCTTTTTCAATTAAGGAAAAAAAGCCTGATAGAATAAACGATTCGGTGAATGAGTCAGAACTCAGAAGGCTTTCACTTCCCTCTGGTGTCTCAGTCCCTTACTGAGCACTCGATTCCTTGTGCGCCAGAACCCGTACTGGGCATGCAGAGCTGGGAATTCTGGCCTGTGTTCTGCTGGTGGTGGAATGGGACCCTGGCCTGGGGCTCCAGAGAAAGGGCAGGCTCCGTTTGATTGGAGGAGAATCTAGAAGAGTTTCTGCAGGAGGTGGCATTTGAGATGAAATTTGAAGAAAGGGAGATGTTTTTGAGGACGACATCAGCATGTGCAAAGGTCCAGAGGTGGGAATGAGCAGGGGTTTTTCGAGGAATGGTGAGCAGTGCCCTGTGGCTTTGGCCTCAAATGCTGGTCAGTCCAGGGGAGGCATGAAGTGGTGTGGTGAACTCAAATGGAAGAGTCGAGTCCCGCCTGGGCTCCAATGCTCCCTGGTCCACTCTGTGATGTTGCTCTGTTTGCTTCTACTCGCTGTGGGCTTGTTTATGGGTGGTAGAACCACAGACTGGAAATGTGGTAGGAAAGACTGATAAGAGGTTTGTGTACTCTCCTGTCCCTGCCATGCCGGTGGCAGACACGGGCCATTAAGTCATCATAATGAGCTTTTGTGTTGTGTTGGAGGAAGAATGAGATGAGTAGAGGCACGGTCTAGAGCCAGACTACAAAGGTGCAGAATCCAGCTGTGCCATGTACTGGGAATCCCTGGGAAAGGTCCTTAATCTTCCTGTGCCTCAGTTTCCTCATCTGTAAAGTGGAAGTACTAATACTGACTTCATGGTGTTGTTGCCGCAGAATTAAATGAGCTTTTAAATAAGATTAAATTAAATTTTGTATAAATATCTGTAAAATGCTCACAATGGTACCGGGCACATGGTCTGTAAGTGTTTGATTGTTTTTCTAAGCCCATACTCAACCCTAGTGCTTCTCAAGACACTGCTCAGGGCAGCCATATTAATCAGTTGTTGCTTCTCCTGTTTTAACCCAATCTCCTCACTGTAGATGGTGGGTGGTGGTGGCAGTGAGTCCAGGTGGTGGGAAGTCTTTCCCAGGGTCTCCGTGACTCAATGGAGCTAGAGCTCACCATTTCCTGAGACTGACACCAGAGTTTGTTGCATTATAGGATGACATGGTTTGGCTGTGCCCCACCCAAATCTCATCTTGAATTGTAGTTCCCATAATTCCCACGTGTTGTGGGAGGGACCTGGTGGGAGATCACTGAATCATGTGGTTTCCCTCATACTGTTCTAGTAGTGAATAAGTCTCTCAAGATCCGACGGTTTTATAGGGGGTTTCCCCTTCCACTTGGCTCTCATTCTCTCTTGCCTGCCGCCATGTAAGAAGTACCTTTTGCCTTCTGCCATGGTTGTGAGGCCTCCCCAGTCATGTGGAACTGTGAGTCCGTTAAACCTCTTTTCATTTATAAATTACCCAGTCTCGGGTATGTCTTTATCAGCAGCCTGAAAACAGACTAATACATATGACTTACAGCATAGGAAGGTGCTAGCAGGAAGGATCCCAGTGCTTAAGAGGGAAACTCCTGGAACCTTCACCTGCCCACTATGAAGGGAAGAGGTGATCTCCAGCCCTCCCAGCTCTGCACAACGTGAGGATCTCCCACAGGGCTGTCCCAGGGGAGTCAGCATTGGGGGTGGGGCATGGCCAATCCCCCTGCTTTCCTGCATGGTAACCCGTCTCCTGGGGACCCAATGCATCTCCAGTCTCTGTGGCAGGTTCCTCCCCATCTTTCCAGGCCCCTTCCTTCCTTCTGTTCCTTCTTAGGAGCTATATCTACAGCCTGGGGTGGTGGCCATTCAGCTAGCCCTTGACGGGAGGGTCCAGGGAACCAGCTTCAGGCCCTAGATGGGTCCACTTTCAAAGTTGCCAGCCTCCGCCTTCAGAGACACTGGAACTGTACGACCTGCTGGCCGGCCTCCAGCAAGTGAATGGGGCCTCCACCTTCACAACCAGACCGCTTCTAGTTAAGCACAGGTGTTTCCAGCCCTTGCAGGAGAAAACTCAAGAAAGGGCTTCCAAGGTGTGGTTCAAAGACTACCTGTGCCGAATCACCTGGGGGTGGGGGTCAGGAGGCTCACTGATGAAAATACAAATTCCTGGGTCTTACACAAGACCTACCGGGTTAGACTCTGGAGCTGGGAGCGCAGGAACCACAAGCTTCCCAAGCAACTCCTGCACACTCGAGTTAGTAAACCATGGGACTCACAGGGCAACAGCAACGGGAAAGCCCTTAGGACCAGGAATCCTTGGTACCATCCCAGCCCCATTGCCAGACTCCCTGAGGGACGCCAGGGATTCACAGTTTGTGCCAATGAACGAGCCCAAGCCTGCGTCTTCACTCCTTTCTCTCCAGCTGCCCACACTGCTCACACGTTCCCCGCAGTTTCTAAATTCAAAGTGGGGCAGTTTGAGCTGTTTACCAACTCCCTTTCCTGGGCACCAGGTCTTAGAAGCCTGCCACTGGGGAGAGGTCTGGGCTCACATCCTTCTAGGGCTTGGCAGGAGTTTCCGTGACTGTGGGCAGGGGTTGAGGATGGGACCTGAGGGCCCTGTTGCAAGCTGGCTGACTTCCTGGTCTGGAGCAAGCCTCTGACTTTCCAGACACAGCTTGGGCCTCTGAACCACTTCCTCCCGGAAGTTACAGTCTTCACAAACTCCCCACAGTGGGACGGCAGCCTGAGTGCGGTCAGGCTCACCTGTAGAGGGACTCCTGTGCTGGGCCCTGGAGCTGGCGCTGGGCTGGGGGTAGGAGCCTGACACCCACTCTGGCCCCCTACAGATGGTCCAATGCCTCGCTGGCAGAGCAAGTGATCGTTGAACACCTGCTGAGTGTGGCTTGCTGTACTGGGTGCTGGTGGGGGAGGGTGAGGGATGGAGAACCACTGGGGGCGTAGAAAGAAATAGAAGACTGGGGGAGTGGAGAAGCCCACACGCAGGTTTAGAACAATCACTAAGCAGCCTGCCAGGCAAAGCGAAACACACTCATCTGAATCCAGTCCGCATGAGCTTATTCAGCAGGCCAGGCTGGTGTCTCAGAGGTGTGGGGTGTGTGCTGGTGTGGGAGCGGGGCAGGAAAGAGACAGGGGCAAACAGGACTTATGTTCCAATCCTGAGGCCACCATGGACTTGCTGTGTGGCCTTGGTAAGTTACTTACCCTCTCTGAGCCTCAGCCATTCCCCTTTCTGTGCTTCCCCCAATGTATACAACCTGGAAAATCACCAGCTTAAACCAAATTTGACACTGAGCAAGGGATGTGGCTTCTTGGTCATGTGAGTGGTCTCTCAGCTAGAGGCCCATGTCACCACAACAGGCAGTATAGGGTCATGATTAGAAACCCTGTGCTTTGGGCCGGGCGTGGTGGCTTACGCCTGTAATCCCAGCACTTTGGGAGGCCGAGGCGGGCAGATCACGAGGTCAGGAGATCGAGACCATCCTGGCTAACATGGTGAAACCCTGTCTCTACTAAAAATACAATAAATTAGCTGGGCATGGTGGTGGGCGCCAGTAGTTGCAGCTACTTGGGAGGCTGAGGCAGGAGAATGGCGTGAACCCGGGAGGCAGAGCTTGCAGTGAGCCAAGATCGCGCCACTGCACTCCAGCCTGGGCGACAGAGCGAGACTCCGTCTCAAAAAAAAAAAAAAAAAAAGAAACCCTGTGCTTTGGGGTCACAGACCTTCACTGGAAGCCACCTCCGTCACAGGCATATCAATGCCCTTGTTTATGAGCAGATCTGTCAGCATCTTTGCAGGGAGGATTCAGTGAAATTCACTCCTGGCTGTGGAGTGGGGTGCCTGGACGGCCTCTCAGGGAGGGGGCAGAGGATGTGAGGTTCACAAAGCACTGCCTTCCTCCTTTGCTTTGATTCATTTTAGTTGCAGTAGTCACTTGTTGGAGATGTTAATGAATACAAAAGCCAGAGAGTATTTCACTTTTTTCAAAGACTGCACGAGTTATGAGGTTTGAGGTGTGCCAGGGTACAGGATGGAAGGGGCCCAGTGCTGTGCCTGGCGCTTGGTGAGCTCTCCTGACTGCTACAAGACAGACTTCTTCCCACTGCTTCCTCTCATTAGTGCTTTAGTGTCTTCCGATGAAGACACTCCTCCCCTTTCTCCTTCTCAGCTGTGTTTGTTCCCTAGAGACAGCTGGAGCTCCACCCCACAATAGCACCTAAGTGGGGGGAGCGGGAGGCCTCTCCCTTGCGGCAGCCTGGCTCTGGACTAATCCTAACCCCTCCCCTAATTAAAGAGCATATAGTTTTGGGATTAAGTGTGCAGTGCTTAAAATTAGAGACCTGTGTGCCAATCCTGGCTTGCTATTCACTGGCTGTGTGACCTGGGGCAAATTACTTAGCCTCTCTGTGCTTCAGCTTCCTCCCCCTCCCCTCAAAAAAGGACTAACGCACCCACGTCACAGGGCTCTTGTCAAGATGAATCGAGCAAGTGCGTGTGAAACATTTAGCACGCACTAAGCAGTCAATGAACATGCAGCTGTTCTTCAGGTTAAAGCCACACTGGCTATTGGATGTCTTTTGTTTTCTTTACTTTCGCAGAGCCGCCTCCCGGCATGGGCCAGTCTGGCTGGAAACTGTAGGAGGGAATAAGAGAAGGATCCATGTGAGTGCGTGGTCAAAATAGAAGTTGCCGTGGAAAGGCGAGAGATGAGTCTGCCAGGGAGAGCCTGTCTGGATGTCGTCAGCTGTGATGGGCCTACAGGTTGTCACGGACTTGGCGGCTCTCCGGCGCCTGCTGAGCAGTCTTCTATGTATAAGAATCCAGAGCCTGTCGGGATGAACCAGGGTGTGGGGAGTCAGTGTTAATGGCACTTGGGAGCTGGGTTCAGCGGGGAGGTTCCTCAGAAGGATCCGGACTCCATCACAATCATTGCAGATGGAGTTGGACTCTAGCCAGCGGAGAGGAGGAGTCACAGAAACGCTGTAGAGGCCAGAACAAGCTGATTTGAGCCCTAGGGAGTTAAAATTCTTTCTTCCCTCCCTACTCACCTCAGAAAAGTGATCTGGTACATTGTGACCAAGCAGGCGAAAATTCGATTCATTATCATCATAAATGCCTTCAAGAGTTGGTAGACCTAAGAGTGCATGGTGAAACCCCGTCTCTACTAAAAAAATACAAAAAAAAAAAAAAAACTAGCTGGGTGAGGTGGCGGGCACCTGTAGTCCCAGCTACTCGGGAGGCTGAGGCAGGAGAATGGGGTAAACCCGGGAGGCGGAGCTTGCAGTGAGCTGAGATCTGGCCACTGCACTCCAGCCTGGGCGACAGAGGCAGTGCTTAAAAAAAAAAAAAGAAAAAGAAAAAAAAAGAATGCAAAAGAATACTAGAGTCCCTCCACTTCCAAAAATCTTAAGAGTTGAAAGGGTGAATACATGTGCATATGGTCAGAGTCGAAACCTACAACTGCAGGCACGTGATCAACCCTGTGTAGGCATAGATAAGAATTAAGGAGTGTGTGGATTACCAGAATCCAGGGATTGGGCTGAAGAGCTGGGGAGACAAATCCTCATTTTTTTTTTTTAAGCCTGTGACACAGAACTTAGGGTGGCCCCTTAGGCCACCACATCCAGGAGAAATTCTCTATCCTAAGCAACCTCAACTGAGGGGTGCATAACAGTCTCCTTGGGTGCTAAGCAACTCCAGTTAACTGGGATAATGGTTTTTCTTTGTGGGTGTACATTTTTTCACTCCAGGAGATTTGGGGTTATGTTAAGACAGGCTTATGGGGATTAAAACCATAGTATTTTATTTTTCTGTTATATGCTTACTTGTGATGCTAAGATAATTTTGCCTATTAAAGTGAGAATCTAATCATCCTAATTTAAAATGTAATTGAGCAATTAGATGTGTGAGTTTACATTGAAATCTTACTAAACTTATGCTCAGTCCTAGAATATTTCAGAGCATTTTAGGTTCACAGTATATATACATTTAATTTACTAGCTGTATGTGAATTAGTTATCTCCCCAGGGAGATTTTGCTCAAAACAGTCAAATGAGTTAAAAAAGAAATCCAACAGATGACTTTAAAGATGCTATTAAAGTATATCATACACTCTGACAAGTCCTGAGACAACCAAGTGAACCAGTATCCATGTAACCAGCACCAGACCAAGATGCCTCACAGTATCTGAACCTGGAAAACCCCTCGGCAGATCCCTCCTGCAGTCAGTCCCCCTCCAAGGGAAACCACTCACCCCAAACATTACATTTATAAATGCAATATAAATTGTTTGAGATGTGTTTAGTTAATTACGTTTCTAAACGCGATCAAATATTCGAAGACTTCTTAGAAGCAACTGCTAAAACCCACTTGATATCAACAGAACAAAGATCTGTAAGCAGACTTAAACACTTAAGAGAGAATTAGGGTTGTGAATGTGTCAGTTTAATAAATTGAACTCCAGTTATTTAAACTCAAAGTAAATGTCTGAGTAGTCTTTTCTGGGCATAACAACGGCCCATGGAGACACTAAAAACTCAAATGAACATGCATATGAACAGTCATAGTCCAAAGGCGTGAAGAAATGTTCATGAAATGACGCATCATGCCTTTATCTTTCCTTAGACAGAAGGCACATTTCCAACTCCCAAGGCCACTTTCAATGCCTTGGGCTTTGCAGATCATGCTCTCTTCTTGACACAGCATGCCTATATTGCCTATAATTTACTTTAAAATATTACAAATAGACAGTGGGACATATTTTGAGTCTACACTCTAGGATACTCTAGGGTAGTCAGTTAACGTGAATAGAAACACTACGTACTCCATGGATGGGTGTTTAGCATTGGAAAGACTCATCAGAAGCCCACAATATACAGGGACAACTATAAGGGTTTCCATTGTCTTTATTTCCAATCAGTACAAGAGGGCTTGTTCATTTGCATAATGGGTATAAAATGATTTTTCATGGGTGATCCAGTAGGATAAACAATGCATAATTAGCTGGAGATACAATACGGGTACCATCACTCTTGCATGAACAGGGTCTTAGAATGCAGCGGTCCAATAGGCTACAGAAGTGCTCCACATTCAAGACACCCTCTAGTCTTGTGCATGGCCAATTACTTGACTCCATAGAAGGTCAGCTGAGTTCTGCACTGGAATAGTGTTGCCTCTACCCTTCATTAACATACCATCTAATAGGGAGATGGCTGGGACTTTGGATAACTCTTTCGTTAAGGGAACATCTAACAGGGCAGATGGCTGGAATTTATTGAGTCCTGGACTGGGCAGTTGTGGGGCCCGCTTGCTAATAAATATGTACAAATTTGGTGTGGGACTTGCTTTCATTATACTTTACTGCCCTAGTGGCAGGCTTGCGGGAAGGACAACAGGTGCCCTCCTTTCCCTGTAGCTATGAGAAGTTATGAGTATTAACTGAAGCGAGTCCAATGTCTGTGTCTTACCCGGTTGGTTGAGGTCAGTTGACAAAGCAGAGGCTCAGAGGAGTCTGATGGTCAGGGGCAGCGGGCAGTGTGATGCCATGGAGCAGGCTGGGAGACACATCTTTGGTGGGACCATTCCAGTTCCCCCCAACAAACACACACACTTCCCCACTGACCGCCATCTGCTCCAGCTCTGGGTAAGTGTACCTCGGGCCTCAGCTCCCCCAGATCCTGTGATGGCCTGCCTAGGGGCTCTTCCCATGGCCAGGACCTAGAAGATTAGGGTAGGAATGAGGGTGGATGGGAATTTCACTTCTATAGAATATGGCCTTGGAGCTCACGTGGGATTCTTTTCTCTCCACAACTTATCAAAATGGTTGCTCTATCAGCTGTTTTGACAGCTTCCCACAGCCCTAGCTACCTACAAGTGCTCATCTTAGTAACAGAATCAGGTGGGCTTGAAGATACAATGCCTTCTCTTCCCTTGGAGGTCCTGTTGAAAATGGCTCTTTTGAGAACCAGACAGCAAGTATTATACTCAGTACGGTGCCTCCTCGCTCCACTTCACCTCCTTTCTTCCTTCCTTCTCCCTCCCTTCCTTTCTCTTTCATCCTCAGTATAGAGCTCTTGAGGCCCAAATCACGTACAAGCCAATCATACAAGCATTTTGTCACTTGATGCTCCTGGATCCATGCTCAGCCTTAAGGGACAGAGAGTTTTCTTTCTCTTTCTGCTGTTTCTCTTTCTGCTTCTCCCTGCAGCGAAGCAGCTCAAACCAAAGCCTTGAAGAAGACACCCCCTTTTGGTGTGACTTCTCTACTTTAAACCCTGAAAGTCATGCCAGGCGGCCCCTGACCTCACAAACAGTAGATCTCCCCTGGAGCCTCCAGAATATTCTAGACTGCAGTGGGAGTGGCCCTTCCCTGCGCAGTCCTGCCCACCGGACCCTTCCAGGGATTGCTCCAGGTGTTCTCATGGCTTCCTCCCCCGCTCCACCGAGCCCAGGTGCCCAGTCAGCAGGGAGGGCTGTGCTGCCTTCCGTGGTCTCCTTGTCCTTGAAGCCAGCCAGACGATCAAACAGTCACGATGTTGGCATTTAATTACTTGGAAGTAAACAGCATTGCCAATATGGGGAAGGTGGCTGGGTGTGGGGAGGAGAAGGGAGCTGAAGTGGGAGGTATTTGGGGGGTGATTATTAGAGGTAATATGTAAATATCTGCTGATTGGAATCCTTGGGAAAGGATATTGAAGAAAGTGATGTTAAACAGCCCTGTCATCCGCAGAACCATCTGTGACTGGTGGAGAGGGTGGTTAAAGGCCTTTGATTTTTGTCCAGTGCCTCTGCAGCCAGGGAAGCAGGTTCCTCTGCCCCTCCCCTTGATCTCCTTGATGTCAGGTCCTGGCTCTGCTCTGAGAGGTGAGAGTGGATGGCCCCTCTGCCCTGCCTCTCACACATGTAACTTGGCAGGTTTCTCCTAACAAGGAATTGTTGAGGGGAATCATTTCACCTAGACATGCTCACCCTTGTGTCTCATTAGGAACTGGGCCATTTTAACAGATCCAGAGAGGGCCCAGACTCTTCACTTTGATGTTTTTTGCTCCATCCAGGTACTGTGAAACTTCCGTAATCCTTAAGGATGTTGCAGAACCCTGGATCCTGAAAAGAACATGGGTTTGAAGTCAGAGAGACTAGGGTTCCAATCTGGTTCCTTGAACTCACTAGCTGTGTGACTTTGGGCAAGTCACTTAACTTGTCTGAGCCTCCGTTTCCTCATCTTAAACATGGAGATGTGTAGAATTGTCCTGGGGTTTAGTACACCCATGGAGCAAATCAGTTCCCCGGCACACTCCAGTGCTCAAGAAATGGGGGTCTTCTACCCCTTCACCTTCCTGGGTGTGGAGGAGACAGAGGACCCCTAGGCTGCACGGTGAGGGTGGACCCTGTTGACTGGCCCTGGTGCATAGGCTGCTTGGTGGAGCCCAGCTGAGGCCCTTGGGTCTGCTGCCGATGCAGCGGGTTATGTTTCTACAGCTTGGGAGGCCCTGGCCCCAGAGTGCAAAGAGGCCTCCAAGCCTCTTGCCTCTCTGTGGGAAGCAGCCCATCCTAGGGAGCTCTGGGGTGGGGGTGGGGCTGAGAATCACAGTCGAGGCAATTCAGTCGAGCCTGGAGCTGTCATTAGTTGTTCTGGCCCATAATTGGGATGTAACCACCCTTTGGCCCCCAATGAGGTTC